CAGAAATAAGAATAAAGAAGAAAATAACTAATAAATAAAATAATATGAATTAGTATATTGAATTAAAACAATAAGAGTGTAGTAAAACTTTCAATCAGTTCGTGGCGAATTTCCTATTCATAGTCTTAATTCGAGAATTAATAGGAAATAAATTTTTCAAGACTACAAGTAAAATGAAATAATTATCGTTATTATTCTTGCACATTTTTGTATCACTTAAGATGACATATTAAGAAATCATCAAATAAGATTTATGCCTTTCAATACAAAAGGTCGTGCTCTCTATAAGTCTTACGAGGGAACATTCCCAACTGTTAATCGCTGACCGAAGTGACATTTTGCCCATAAGTAGGACTCAATGAGACTAGGAAAAAACTAAACGGATTCGTCCCCATAGGCCTTCCTTCTGAAGTTATGACCATTTTACGAACTTTCCAGCTTAAGGCAAGCTATTCCTAGTGAAGCCAAAAAGAAGAAATTTCCATCTGAAGTTTTGCCCATAAGTAGGTCTTATGATCTTTATGACATCCTGAAAGTTTCAGTCAAAACCGATGGTTCCTTCTCGAGATATAGAATACTAAAGAAAAGTCATTTTATGACCTTTTTTGTGACATATGATCGTTTTTTTGAATTTTCAATATCTCAAGAAGGAACCATCCGTTTTGACTGAAGCTTTCAGGATGTCATAAAGATCATAAGACCTACTTATGGGCAAAACTTCAGGTAGCAATTCCTTCTTTTTCAATTTTTTATGAATAACTTGCCATAAGCCGGAAAGTTCGTAAAATGGTCATAACTCCAGAAGGAAGGCCTGTGGAGACAAATCCTTTTAGGATTTTCCTAATCTCACTGAGTCCTACTTGTGGGCAAAATATCACTTCGATCGTCGATTAACAGTTGGAGATGTTCCCTCGTTAGCCTTATTTTTGGCAGAAAAATCTTGTATCAAATGGATCACTCAACAGAAAAGAATATTCACAGCATGTGTACTCCAACGGTTTAATTCTATTACTACGTAGTAGAAGACATTTTATTGACATCATATATACGATTTAGCTATTAATAATAAAAAGCACTGTATTGCCTAAAGATACTCGAAGATTCATGGTGATTGCGTCGAGAACGACGTCTTTGGTTGTTTGGAATCTCACAGTTTCTTTTTAAAAAAGAGACAGTCCGAATAACCATTGATAAAATGAATTCAACTTTAAAAGGATTGTTCAATGCTTCGATCTAAAACATCAATAGTTGAAATATGATTTCTAAATTAAGGTAAATCTGTATATAGAAGATTTTTTTGTATCAACTCAGTTCAAGTAAGTATTTACTCTAAGTGTTCAAAATAATCTATAAATAACATTTGCATATTTTATTTGTCTACAGTTTCCTTATTTTATCGCTTGTTTTTCTCTTCAATGATATATTAGTTTATTATTTATCAGCATTATTTTCTTTGATATAAAATAAATATCGAATGTATTTATTTAGTTAACTCAACAATGAAGATCAATCATCTAAAGATGAAACGTGTTGGTATTTTATTTAATCTTATGTATGCATCTAGATTACTTCAAGAGCTTGAATCTGTGACAAAAGGTTCTACGGGAATGCAACATTTATTAGCGTTTGCGGTTAAAATCATTGATTATACAGAGAAACCAATATTATATGTAAATGAAAATGTGCGATTGTGAAAAAGTATTGATGTTTTTTTTCTTCATTTTAGATTGATGTTACTCAAGTACTAATAAATGCTGAACTAATTTTTTTAGATGACAACTGAAAATTATCTATGAAACGGTACCCATCATTATGCCTAAGAAAAAAAACTTAAATAAATTTCCACCACTAATCAATAAATCAGAGCATTCGAGCGAACTGAAGCGGATATATTTCAATCATATTATCGTAAACCCCCTCCCAATTTAGAAGCCCCCGAGGGCTTCTATTAAGTCCTACAATTTTTCAATTGTTTTTTATGGTAAAAGATTTCAAAGGACTTGAAAGATTTTTTAGGGTTATTAAGAGTTGTTCAAACGATTTTCTAAGAGATTTCAAGATTTTTATGCTGATAAGTAAGGAAATTAAACATATTCTCAATTTAAGATTGCGAATTTTGAAAGTTTTTCGATGAAAATATCAACAAAAATTTTCAAAATGCTTTTAAAATCAGGGGGGCTACTAATACATCTTTCACGTTGTTCCCTCTCCAGTGGACTTTTAATAAGAGAGAGGCTTCTAATATGGGAGGGGCTTCTATTACGGGAGGGGGTTTAGTGATACAGAAAAAATCTGTTATTCCAGCAACGAAATCAAATTCACAGTTAGGTTTCTTCAAGATTCGATACCTTGTATATTCGCTCGGCTCATTATATCTATTCAGCATTCTTCATGGCGGCTTTTCAATGTTATATTGTATGCTTTATATGTTATTGCGAAATCAGAGATGTTGATAAATTTATGAGGTAGGAGGGACGTAGAAGAGACATGAACGATGAGATTACAGGGATCATTCAAATTTATTTCGATCATTTTATGCAATGAAGTCTTTCATGAAAACCCTCTATTTGGAATGACAAACTTCATATTCCAGTTGCTTTGATCAAAATTGATTGAAGCTTACAAATAATATAATCAGATTATGACAACATATTCGAAACTTCTGCTCAAATAATTTCGAGAAAGAATATCGAACAATTTTTAATACATAGCAAAACCATAAATTCTGTCTCTTGATTATTTCTTGAAAGTGATCCTTCATATTTTCTTCGAATAAAACAGTTTTTCTAATAATAAGATAACAATCATGAACTTATTGATTCAATTGTAATCAATTCGCGACATAATTATGTCATACTGATAGTATATTTTATGCAAAAATTTTTATTTATTAATAGCAAAAAAAGCTTTCAATTGATGTTGATTTGAGAAGATTTTTCTTGAAACATTTTCTGTGTAAGAATTAAGAATTCTAAGTTGATTTGGTTAAATAAGTCAATTCGAGAAGGGTAGCGGACGAAATATGGTTGAATACGATGTATTACCCAAAGTGCCACTATATTTTTGGCACAAACTCTACATTAAAACTAATTAGAATGAAAATATAAGCGTTGAAGAAGTCTTACCTCGTGAAAGCTGAGATCAGCTATTGAACGTTCTACATTACAATATCTACACCGAACATCGGCACTGTTATTGTCTTGATTGACGAATCTAGAAGATGATAAAAGTCATGTTCTGCTAAAATGAGACAAACGAGTTAACCCTGATTGTTGTTGTTGTTCACACTCTTGCTCAACACGAGAATTCTGTTCAATGAAAAACAATAAGAGTAGAAATGAATTGCTCAACTTACGATAGAAGTTTTGGGGCAGATACTCTACATCGAAAGCTAATCAAAATGAGAATATAAAAGTGTAAAAGAATTCTAACCTCATGAGTACTGAGCATGTCTACTGAACGCTCTGCGTTACAATATTTACATCGCCCAACTCGATCATTGTTGTCTTCATGGACGGATCTGAAAATTAGATAAAAGTCATGTCCTGCTAAAATGAGACAAACTAGTTAACTCTGATTGTTGTTCTTTTTGTTCATGATCTTGCTCAGCACTAGAGTCCTATTAAATAAAAAACAATAAGAATCGAAATCAGTTGCTCAACTTACGATATGAGATGTTCGACACACACCCTATGTAAGAAGTTAATCAGAATGAGAACATGAAAGTGTAGAAGAATTCTGACCTCATGAATTGTGAGCAAATCCATCGAACGCTCTACATTACAATATTTGCATCGACCAACGCTATCATTGTTGTCTTCATGGACGGATCTGAAAATTAAAGAAAAATTCATGTTCTGCTAAAATGAGACAAACAAATTAACCCTGATTGTTCTCGTTTTCGTTCATGATCTTGCTCAGCACTAGAGTTCTGTTAAGTGAAAAGCAATAAGAATTGAAATCAGTTGCTCAACTTACGATATGAGACATTCGACACACATCCTATACCAGAAGTTAATGAGAATGAGAATATAAAATTGTAGAAGAATTCTGACCTCATGAATTGTGAGCAAATTTATCGAACGCTCTACATTACAATATTTACATCGACCAATTCGATCATTGTTGTCTTCATGGACGGATCTGAAAATTAGACAAAAATTATGTTCAGCTAAAATGAGACAAACGAGTTAACCTTGATTGTTGTTGTCTTTGTTCACGATCTTGCTCAGCACGAAAATTCTGTTCAATGAAAAATAATAAGAATAGAAGACGGTTGCTTAACTTACGATATAAGATTTTGCGCAGTATTCCTACGTGAAAAACTAATAAAAGTGAGAATATAAAAGTGTAGAAAAAAATCTGACCTCATGATCATTGAGAAAATCTACCAAATACTTTTCGTTACAATATTTGCATCGACCAATCCAATCATTATCGTCTTGATGAACGGGTCTGAAAGATGGCAGAACTCACGTTATGCTTAAGTAAAACTAACCAATTAACCTCGATTGATGTTGTCTTCGTTCACGTTCTCGCTCAATACAAGACCCCTATTAAATGAAAAACAATAGAGATAGAAATCAGCTATTGAACGTACGATATGGTTATCAAAAAGCTGCCATTCAATCAACTTTTTACAAAATTCACAAGAAATAAAAGCAGTATTATCCGACTGGTCGTCATGATGCAATCGATCTGGAAATGAAATGAAAACTATAAGAATATGGTTTGCATATGATAATACCTGAATATTGATTAGCATTTCCATTAGTCCATGTTTGGTCTCTTTTCTTGATTTTATCTGGATTGTGAAGACAAGCACTCTGCAAACAATCATATAAGAACAATTTGATTTCTCATGTAAGAGCTATAGTTTTTCTAGTGCTCACCTCATGCGCTTCAAGATCGGCTGGGTCACATTCACAATTACAAAATGAGCATAACATCATTCTTCGTATTGCTTTATAAAAATTTCTCAATAGATAATGCAAACAATTCTAAAGCCTACCTGAACTTGATCGTTGAAATGAGTCACTATCTTTGTTTGGTAGCATTTCAAGATCAACTTGCATTGTCATGATATGCTTTTCGTGACCAGCAGCTAATCTTGTTGAAAATAGTGATGAATGATTAGATTGCAATGTTGATGAAGCAACAGAGTTATCGACAATAGAATCAGCATCTGTATCAATTGCATTCACATCGGTATTATTATTTTCACAATGATAAGCAAACATAGGTTGTCGAATAATATTTTTACAATTTGGACACTGATCTGTTTTGTTACCATACATCAACAAATGATGTTCCCTTTCTTTTGTTGGTGTAAATTTTTCGTTGCAGAACGAACATGAAACAAGATATTCTGCATCATTAACTTGTTCCTAGAGAAAAATTCAATAATGACAAAGTAAAAAGAATATATTTGACTATTAACCTACATTGCAGTTCATGTTTATTTTTTGTTAGTCTAAATGATTTTTTATCTGAAAAAGTTAAAATTACCAAAAAACAAGAAAATGTAAAATGAACTGAAAAAATATATTGAACCATAGATCATTCTGATTTCTTTTTCTTTTTAACAATTTAAAACTAGCGTAATCTGGATTATAAATAAAATAAGAGGTGAGATACATTAACTTGTGGTAATTCCTCATTTTTCAAATTGAAGTTTTTTTAATAAAATAAATGTGTAGGATAAATCTTAGTTAATATCAACAAGAAAAGCTTATTATGAGAGCTTCTAATTGCATGACTGCGCCTATTCTTAAATAAGCACATGGGAATTTTCCGTTGTATATGAGCGGCGTGAAAAAATGCTGTATTTTTGGATAGAAGCAATCAAAATGTCTGAAACTTTGACAATAAACTATTCTTACTAAGATGTTTAAAAGTTATCGTAAAAAATGCAGTGTCTTCACAGCAATAAGCTAAGGGTCAAAGCTCTTTTCAAAGTACTTATAACTCATTTGCATTTACATAATGTACATCTTCACTTGTAAAACAATAGTTACTCAACTATGATTTCAATATAAAAGAGGCATAGTGTTTTAAATGATGTTTTAGACGAGAAATAAATGTAAAATAATTAATTAATTCAATTCAATAGAAACATGTTTGCATCTTATCTTTGTTACTTTCATATACAACATTGTTCATTCGTTTAAAATCATAATGTACCAAAGATAATTTGGAAAATATATTTTTGAAAATTGAATAGATTTGTTTCCAAACAGTTATTCGTAAAATTAGAGAAAAAAACCAACAAACTATATTATGAAATCAGATCAATTGATTCTATTTGCTGTAATTGAAAGACCTTGACTATTTTGTACATTTCCATTATTTTCTAGAATGATAACACTTGTGTAATTGTTTGAAGGTAAATAGTTTCTATAAATATTACTATTGATTGATGTGTTTGATTGATCATATTGTCTGAATTTAAAATTTAATGAAAAAGAACTTGTTCCAAACTCAATCAATGATTTCCCATTCGACGAGAATTCATTTTCTCACACCAACTATATAACGAGATAGTTTAAAATTCAGCGTTCATTAAGGCAAAAGCTTTACCTGGTGATATCTGAGACTTTCGAGCGACCTTTGCAATCGACAAAAGATACATATAGTAGCGTTATCAGTAGGCATTGGTTGTTGCGCTGCATTCGAATAATACAAACAATCACTAAGCTTTCTAGAACGTGGGGTGGACTGGAGGTGTGGACGAAAAGACGACCAACACTCACTGTCCACACCTACACCCAAACCACGGATGTGTTCGGTATTGTTGATGTGAAAGGTAGCTCGATGTGTGATCATGGTGCAGGTATTTCTTGCAAGTGAATGATGCATAAATCCTTAGTTCGATACAATTTACTCACAACACGGAAATAATTACTACGAAGAAAAGGAAATTCACTGTCTTCGATGTACTGTAAATGAGCTCGAATAGATTTACCAATAATACATTCAACGATGAATAAAGCTCGTACACCTAATTTTCCAATAAATCTCTTCGTACATGTACTAAACCTCAACCATACCATCGTATCATTGTATTGATCGATTCAATTACTACGATGTTCCCATCAAACTGTAGTCTTCAATAGTGATAGGTTGAATAAAGTGAGTAACACGAGTTTTAGACAGCGGAACCATAGTTTAAGCGATTCTCAGCGTTTTGAACAGAGTGCCGTATTAAGCATAGTATAAAGACTTACGTTTTGGTTCTTTTCACTGCATGGTGTAGCGATGAATGGCAACCGATTCGTCTGGACTGAATCCATTTGCCAACTTTATCGAGTTGCATTTGGTCGTATCAACCATTATGTCGAGATCAACGAGTAGTTCATTGATTGGCTTAATAGCCTCTTCAAGTAGTAGCAGTGGTTCCTTTGCATAGGCATGAATAAGTAGCCGCACTTGATGAGGCTCTTCGTTGGCGTCAAGAAATCGACCATTAGAACTATGGTCTATTGTGTCAACTATTAGTATGCATTTAGTTTAAAAAATGATAACAGCTTACGTTATATCTTTACCTTTATATTTATGTTGAGTCTACCATAGTAAAATTATCAGAATAGCGCGCAAGATAAAAACAAAAGCACATAGACACAAACGTGCGACAGTAAAAAAAGTACCGAAGTCTATAGAGCTCGGCAAGTTCCATCGAAAAAGATAGTATTCACCGCTTTCAACACTTTCTTCTAAACAGAATAGAAAAAAAATGTGGCTAGAAGCACACCCTGGGCATATTCTCATGATAAGAAGAGCAAAGAAAACAGTAGTTGCTGAATCTTTCTTCACTGACCTCATAAGCAAACATGGTAAAATTCACTATAATAAAACAGGTGACAGTGTAAATATGTGTAAGTTTTTAGGGAAGAAACTTCCAAAGCTTCATAAGAAATATTTCGGCTCCTGCTCGGCTGTCACCATCAGTTAGGTATAGACTGAAGGGGAAAACAGCACACCTCAAGACGCTTCAAAAGGCTTTGTGAGACTTGAAAGTCGAAGTCCCAGGTGTTTACCCCTCGTATAGACTCTATTAGTGCGTGTAAATTAAATTTGTTTAAACTGAAGGTTTACTAAAATCTATGTATGACATTATCGGTTTAACTTTCTTTCTACTTTATGAGAATTGGTCGGAAGCTATCATGGATTCTAGAATAAAGTGATGATGTATGGTGTTAATGTGAGAGTGGCAGGAGAAGAAGCCGATACCCTCTCTTTTATCCTGTAGTTGCGACTTTACGATGTTGCCGAGTGAGTTTTGATAGGTCCGATATGTTTCCTCTAGTTGAAGTACTTGAGAAATGATTACCCACCTGCTGAACAGACACAAATCTATACTCTAGACAGAAGTTCAGTCTGACAAAGAGGTTTTCCTCGCTCATTCAACAGCTCATTTGGGATTCCCAAAGTATTGTAGTGTATCAGAGACTCAAATCAAAATTCATTTTTCAACAGCGTATTTTATTTTTGAAATTAACATCAAGTATCAATTGAACGAAGTCAGTAAGATTAGTTTCATGACCGTACGTAGTTGAATGATTTCTAACAACTGAATCAAACGAATGTCGATCATCCCTTTTCATATCTCATCTAAATTGATTTGCTCTTTTGAAAAAGTCTGATTACTAGCTTATGCTTACAAACAAAGAATTGAACATTAAAATTAGTATCATGCATCTCTACGAAATTGCCATCAACCTAAACAAGATAAACTTTCTAAATAAATAGTTTCCTTAGTTACAATTATAATGAATGTAATCACAAGTAAATTGTGTGTCATCCGATTTCCAGTATTATTCTATGCAAATTACATGTAACAAAAAGAAAGTTTAAGAAAATAAACTATTTACATTAAGACTGTGATGAATTACCGCTGTTTCCCTTTTTTTTTTATCATGAGTTGTAGTCTCTCTGAAAGTCAAAATAAATAAAATTGAAAAATAAAAGTAGATCTTAAACATCAGCTGTTAAAGTCACAATATTTATTAAGCATGTATCTTGGCTGATTCAATATTGATTCGCATGTTGATAACTTTTTAAAATCTACTTAAAATTTCATCTAGGTTTACGATTATTCTGTTGTTGATTTCAATTGAAACCATCAGATGATCATTTATGATAAAAAGAAAATAGTTTTGAATTAATTGAAATAGTTTGCTATTCTATTATAATAGATTTTCGTGGAAGAAATGAACGAGATAAGTCTTTATATTAATCTATTGAACTTGATTAATATTTTGCAGGTAGTAGTTGTGGTATATTAAGCAGAATTCGATTGATTAGTTTGTTTTGTATTATCTTATTTCTTTAAGTAGTGGCAGCGGTAAATTGTTTGTTTTTTATTAATGGAACGTGCTCAACCGAATTGACACCTAAGTTTCTTTATTTATTCTTTCTCAATATTGATTTCTTGCTTATTAGAAGTATTTATAACTGAATCAAAGCATGGCAATACCCTATTAACTAGAAATAGGGTCATGAGTGGAAAATGTATAAGTGTTGATGTAAAGATTTTATTAGACTAGTTTAATAAATGACCTGAAAATTTCTGTGACAGTGAAAATCAAACAAAAACTGAATATGGTGAATGGAATGCATTTCGATTGAAATTGGATGTTGCTATTTTTTTGGTGAGGTCGATGATACTCATATGGTCCAGGTACAAAAATACTTTATGTTGGCGCTATTAGTGGTGCAACTGTTTCTTAAACGTCTCATATTCTTCGATCCATATTTGGTTGTTATTTTTCAAAATGTATTATAAATTGAATTTGTTTTATTAAAGATAGGGTTGTATATGTCATAGAATTTTCACATTAATCTTGTTGTAATTTATTAAATATAGTCAAAAAAAAGTGAACGAATATGATTTTGAATATTGGAGATGTACGTCATGCGTCCGAATATCGAATGCTTATTGGTTTAATTATGAGTTTTCTGGTTATTATTTCTTTATAAGAAGATTTTTATTATCTAGACATGGTTGATACAATATTTGTTGATATTGCTCAATCTGATCAAGCACGTATCGTGGTACTTAATGTACATCATTTTTTCGAGAATGGTGAACATTTTATTATTTTAATTAAATCATAAGCAAAAAATATTTATATTTCTAAGAGCATATATATTTTTTTCTGTTAGGCAGATTCTGTTAGATTTGCTAATGAATTAAAGACACTTCGAAGTGAGAAACTTTAACCGAGAGAACAAGTTACACTTGAACCATATGAATGTGACCATGCTATCGTAGTCAGTGTTTATAAGTAGGCGAAAG